AAGGGGGGCCGAAGGAAGACTGGAAGAAACATAAATAAGGACAATTATACTCATGTATCTAGCCTTTCCTTACTCGCGCTCAATTCAATCCATTTAACCTGAGTTACTAAGATACTTACTTTGGGGGTCAGTAAGACTTCTTACTACTAGTGGTATACTTCGGTATAGCTCTAGTAGGCGTTGCCTCTGACCTAGTCGTTATCGTTCTTGTTCACCTGAAGCACCCCTATCGTGTATCTTTGCGAGACCCCATTATATCGCGAGAAGTCGTTCGAGGAAGAGCCCTTCGCCAGGTAGGCCGTTGTCTCGAGGAAGAGGAGACCCGGGTCGGTTAGACCGTCGCGTGCTCGTGAACGACACAGAGTCAAGAAGACTCCTTGATCCTTCCCTAACCACCATCGTTAAGTATCGACGACTACGGTTGGACCCAACGCGTAACACATCGCTGTGTTGGACAGCGCTGATTCCTGTTGGCTCATAACAATAACTATACCTAACTATAATCCTAATATACTAACTAGATATTATACTATAATACTATAAAGAATAAAGGACTTAACAGCCTAGGGCCTAGGCCTTTAAAAAGGGGGGAGGATTATAATACTATAGGTTATAGTAAGCTTAAAGATACTATAGACTAGATACTTTACTAATTATATGACTTTACTCTAAAGCCTTTTAAGTTATATGACCTATAAACTTATATTAGTTTTCTAAAGTATATATAAGCCCTTAAATAGTTGCTGATGTGACGATTCAACTTGCCTGTCGTCACGTGAGCGGTGAGAAAAGCGGTGAGGTATAGGTACGGCAGAATACTTGCATAAATCGCCTCGCTAGCGACCTGGCTCCCTTCCTTCTTCTCCTCTCCTCCCAGCCTAGTCTCTTGTAATTTAGATCGCTCCTAGTGATAAGAAACTGCTCTATTGCCTGGAATTGGATCCGTCACATTAGACTAGGCTCAACCCACTCATTTCTTACCATTTCTACTGCTTCTAGATACGGTCTGACGCGTCTACTACAACAGTCGACGCAGACCTCTTGAAGCTGCCAACTGCGTGCCAGCGACGTGGTGATCAACTGCTGGAAGATACTGAAGATACTAACGATACCGACGTGAAAGCTGCGATAATGCTGAATTGAAGACATCCGAGAATCAGGAATTGAGACGAG